GTATTGAACTAATCCATCTTAAATTCAATTACAGATGTCACTGCTGTAAAATCTTGTGAGTGAGCTCACCTCTCCACAGATCTCATCTGAAACTTGGCATCGCCTGCTTGTCTCCTTGATAGAAAGTAGTAGAAAGTATTAATAAATGCCAAATATTAGTTTATAGTCTTTTTTTTTTTTTTTTACTATTTTAATTTGTCATACCAACTATGGCCAAACTCCTCCCCCCTCACACTCCCCTTTAGTCCTCCAGACCCCGACCCCTCCCATACACACATACACACACATATATTTTGTGTCCTGTTTTGGATGCTATTTGTCCTCACAAGAAAAAGTCTTCCCCAATATTTGTCTTGCCAAAAGTTCTTTCAGATTTACATATTTCATCTGCATAGTAAAACAAAACCCAGTGCAAATACCATAAAGCATAATTGAAAAATGGTGAATGTTATGGATGATCAGCTCAGAAATGGGCTTTGAAAGCCCTGGGCTGAGCCACATTGATCTCTGTGTATGGAAACATAAATATTAGCTGTTGTTTTTTTATTTCAAGAGAAAAAGAGAGAACATAATATGAAACCACAAGGTCTTTTTTAATGAATCCAATATTCTACCTGATTCTAATGCAAATGTAAATGCAGTGATTATCATTTTAGAAGACTGCTGGATTAGAAAATTACTTTTCTGCCAACTATTATAGACCTAACTGGGTAAACCAGCTATCCTATTATGTTTTACTTTCTTGTTCCATAAACTGTTATGGAATTTCCCTGCAATAAATTCATATTGTTCCCACCAGAGAATGTTACCCGTGCTGGTGTGGCCCCTTAGCATTGTCTAAACACTCTTAACACTGTACAGTTTTTGTTTTATAACTAGATTTATACATATTAGAGGTAGAATTATATTAGATACACTAAAACAAAGTTAAGAAAAGAAGTATGTGGCAGTTGCCATTATAATCCATCCATACCATCTGACATCTACAATGGATTGGAAAAGCAACATTGTCTGTATAAGCTTTGCTTGGTCAGCCTTTACAAATTTAGAATGACACAGACAGCAAAAGAGTTTCTTGGCTCCTAACGCTCCAGTTAAAAGTGACTTTGAGCGCTCTGAATGACCCGAGCTGTAGCTTCATTGCTCACTTGTGGATAGTGCTCCTAAACGGGCTTTAAATGTCATTGCAGTCTTTTAAAGTCTAATACTGCTGTCCTTTTATTTTGGAACTCATAATGATCAAAGTTGGGCCAAGTGTTGGCATCAGCTTTACTCATTCAACATAAAAGCACTGGATAGACTATTAAATCTGGTAGAATACATCTCAGTTAGAAGAAAACTGACCCAGCAACTTCTATGGATCATTGCAGTTTACATTGACATTACAGTCTGTTAATGTAATTATCAGAAAAAAACTAGGTACTCAGCAGTTTCAAAAGTGAAATGAAGACTTGAGACTGGTTTATTACTTCCAGTAATTTTAATCAATATGACAATTTTGTCCAGCCCAATTTATAATATTGATTTTTTTAAAGATGGCCTTTTTTACTTCCAAGGTGTATTAACTGCTAACACATATTTAGATAACCGTCTTACAATTTATTGTATTGTGTTATTTTTGTTTCGCTATATTCTCAGCAGTCATTATTCACAAATTCACACGATTCCTTCTGATACACCATCTCTATGGAGACAAGCAGGTGGCGGACCCTCTATCCCCAAAAGTCGCACCTTTAAAATAGGCCAAAGCAACATATTTGGCCAATTTTAAAGCTACCTGGCAGCATATTTTGAAATCAAGCTTTATTCTTATCCATTCACAAATTCTCTTGATTCCTCCTCCATGTGTTTTGTTATCAGCGGTGGTCCACGCTCTGTGCAAGAGGCTTGGCTAGCTCTGCACCGGTCTGATCTGCATAGGCTGTCTGTCCTTGATTTAAAGCTTGGTTCCCCACACGGCACACAGTAAATCTCTTTTTACTGATAGCGTGTTGGTGTAAAAAAAAAAAAAAAAAAAAGAAAAAGGAAAGTCTAGTAGATTAACAGGAGCAGACCGGGGCAGGTTTGGAAAAAAAATCGACCGCATGAAAGCTTGTACTCAAAAGGTGGGCTTGAGTGAAGTGGACGAAACTGTTGCACCCACAGGCGTCTGTTAGAAGTGGGTGTTTTTTGTGGCTTTTATGTTTTCTTTTATTGTGGGGGAAATCTCTGTTGTTTGGCACAGAAAACACATGGTTTCTCTCTTTTCCACTGAATGCTTTCGCCATTATCTCCATCCCCCTCAGGAAAAGCTTTACTATACTTATCTAAATATCCATGCATTCTGATGTAGCCAAGACCCCTTCGGCTCAAACTTACTTCTTCCCTTACTTATTCCAGTGCCAGACTATTAAAAATGTACATGGTGTTACGCTGATTTTTACGCCCCAGTGAATTTGAAGACTTAAAATTTATTGAGGTTAATTGGTGCATAAGTGTGAAGTGTTACTACCTGATTTAAGGAGTTTTCAAGCATCCCTATAGACATATAGTCTTTATATTCACTAACCGTCAGTCAGTTTGTGTTATGTTAAAAGTGCATTTTGTAACTTTTTCTGGTGGAGGGTTCGTCAAATGCCATGAGATGTTATTGCTTTGTCTGAAATGTTTCACAATATGACATTAAATGTTTCATTCAACCTTTCAGATTTAAATAAGACTACTACCTGTTTGTAGCTGGTCTCTTAATATTTGGAACAGTTTTGACTGAATTTATTTTAGTTTATAGGAAATAAATGCTGTTTTCAGTCTCGGGCATTAACAGACACTTAAAGCTAAAATATTGAAACCGGTATCAGAACTGACAAAGCTGGATCAGGGTTTATGGGGTTACCATATTTCCAGGACTATTAGTTGTTCTGGAGTATAAGTGGCACCAGCTAAAAAATGCAGAATGAAGAAAAAAACATACATAAGTCGCACTTTTGGGGGGAAATGTATTTTATGAAATCAAAGACCAGGAACCGACATTTCATCTTGAAAGGCAAATTATAGTAATAACAATAGAATAGAGAACAACAGGCTAAATAGGTGTTAATATGTTAACATAACATATTAACAGTTATTCACATAACTATAGCATAAACAACAGAACAATTAACAAACTCTGTCTCACTCCAAATCACTAAATCCATTGAATTCTTTATCCTCAGTGTCACTTCTGAGCAACTCCAATGACTTCCGGGAAAGTTGTATGGTGCACCCTCCCTGTTATCGTGACGCTGTGTTCTCCGTACCCGCTTTCTGCCAGTCCCTCACAAGTTTCTCGCTCACTCCAAACTTTCTTTCTTCTGCTCAAATACCGTTTTTGGCTGAATATTTCAGTACTTGCAGCAGGACACATGCAGGAGACATGCACAGTAGGACGCAAAGTGACAGTGGTATAGTAGTAATAGTAGTAGCAGATACTGGCACACAAGCCTAGAGCGCCCTCTCACAGCTGTCAGTGTGAAAATTTTAATATATAACTCTCACCGGAGTATAAATGGCAGGACCACCCAAACCATGACAAAAAGTGTGACTAATAGTCGGAAAAATACAGTACATCAAAACTATGCAGTGTCTGATACTCGTAATTTTGTTGTTTTATATGACAGATCTTGACCAGTGCATCTGTACCAAATACTCCCAAAACAGAATAACACAAATGTTAAGAGTTTGTTCAAACAAATATTAAAGGTTAAACATAAAGGTTTAATGTTATCCCCGTAGATTTTGTTGAAAGGAGAGACAGTCTGCTTATCTATGATCTTTGCCACTCTGCAGCTCCAAATGTCCCAGTGTTTTTGTCTATTGCACTTTCTCTTGTTTATTTTCAGTTGATCCGCACCAAAAGCTGAGTCTGGAGGGACCACAATCCCCCTGAGCCCGGCAGCTGTTATTGGCACATCACACGGTCTCATCTTCAAAAACTCATAACATTTTCAAATTCAATCCCGTAGTGCTCTAAATTAGACATTAGTCAGCACTTCAGGTAGAAACCTCCACCACTGAGAGAAATTAAGGCGCGATATGGATCCACGCTGGCTCTTTTATCAAACATGCAGAACACTCATGGACTCAATATTACCTCCCTGCAGTCACTACTTTAAATTGTTCCTCATTTTTTCAGGATCCATAATAGTCTTCAGTTTTAAATTGGGGAACTCTATTGAAGGGATTCTCATATGCTGGACCATTACAATGTGAATAAGGATACATTTACACATATTGCTTATTTGGGCACTAATGTAAATTCGGTTTGGTCCTATTCTAGTCCTGAAAAAATGTGAATTGACTGTAAAATGAACCACAAAAGCAAGTAAGTCAGTTGGTAGAGTGTTTGTCCACTGATCTGAACGTTAGCAGTTCAAATACTGTTAGGTCAGATCCACTGGCTCACAGGTTGGCACTTTCAGCTCCAACAGATGAATGCTGTCATTGTGTCCTTGGGCACGACACTTAACCTCCCTTGCCCCCCATTGTGACTGTGTACATCGGTGTACCATTGTGTGTGTGAATGGGTGAGTGGTTCCTTGATGTAAAGTGCTTTGAGTGTCTTGACTGTGGAAAAGCGCTGTATAAAAATGCGACCATGTACCAATAAATATTCAGTGATTAAACTGCAAGTTACAGGTATTTCTTTTTAAACTTAAACTTTTTTTGCTCCTTTTTTCATATCTTTTATATGATATTCAAATTTTTCAACAACAATAGCACATTTTCTGTATACTGAAGTGTTTTGTTTTTCAGAGCAACATATGGCATTATAAGGGGACTTGAGTTTTTCTTGGCTCAGGAAAATATGTTATGATCAAAGTGACTACATGGACCTTTATGATACTTACACCATCAAATAAAGCCCCCACAGAGACACTACTACTGCTGTGTACCATATTCTCCACTCTCACTCAAGTACTCTTTGTTGTGAGACATGAAGCGTGCTTGCTCACATATTGTACCTTTAATCTCCTCATCCGCAGGTATCCGTTCCCCACCGTGTTCAGTACATGTAGTAAGAAGGACTTGGCTGCCAGTCTGGAGAAGGGCGTGGGGATGTGCCTGTACAATATGCCCGAGGTCAAAGTGCTCTACGGGGGACAGAAGTGTGGCAATGGCTACGTGGAAGAAGGGGAGGAATGTGACTGCGGAGAGCCAGAGGTGAGGACAGGTTTTTATGTTTCTCTAATTTTACTTCAAGGTGCATTGTGTAACTTTTCTGGTGGAGAGTCTGTCAAATGCTTTTCTCCATGGAAATGTTATTGCTTTGTCTGGAATGTTTCACAGTATGGCATTAAACCTTTCTACCTTCATAGAGACCAAACCAGACCAAGTTACAGGTTAGATCTGTCAGGATAACAAATTTTGAAGTGTGACATATTAATGAAGTTAATATAGATGATGAACTATAATATTAAAACTAATTCAATACAAGAACACTAAAGCAGGATTATCCCTAAAAATGATTCTAAATGTACAGTATTGTTAAGAAACATGGGCTGCAATAGATAAACACCAGAATAAAACACTTTAGTACTTTAGTTTGCATCTGTAATGGGTTATCGAAGCTATGAATTAAATCTTTTATGTCTTAAATCTTATCGAAAAGCCAAAAAATAGCATACAATTTCCCAGTAGTGCAAAAGTAAATATTGACCCCTCCCAAAATATATCGTTTCAGTTTTCATGTACACTAAACGATAAGTCAATAGTGTAATTATCGTGGCAGTCCAAGTTGTGGACATTGGTTCTGTGTTAAGATTTGACATAAAAAAAAACATTAGATCATAACTTTAAGTACTTCAAAGAAACTTACTTCTTAGAAACTCCACCAGACTCCTTTATTTATGTCATTCATAGCATCTGGCCAAGACTGTAGTGATGCCATTGCTTTTTCTATGAGTCATTAATCAGAGCAGCATTCACCTGTGCACCACAATCCAAACAGACGTGCTATTGTTCCAAATGCGATGATGCCTTGTTTGGCCGGCCTGAACACAGTGGTGCGTGTTACTTGCCCCAGCACGCTCCATCTCTCATTCTCACACTCCACAGAACGAGGAGGAGGAGGAGAGCCAAGAGAGAGGCACATATGGGAGGCAGGTTCACTCGCAAGCGGAGCCAAACAGCTGGGGTTTAAAAAAGGTGTAAGACAAGAATAGGATTTCACAATGAATATATTACAGAAGAATTGTTTTCAGTGCACGGCAAAATGGGCCACCTGCCCACAGTTTATGGTTTATGGTGGAAATTTTGTAGTTAAAAGTTAGACAATTGAATTTGGGTGGAATTTCTATTTTGTTTCATGATTGCAATTTGGAGATCTTATAATTATAAAGTCTAGTCATAGTAGGTCAGTAAAGGCTGCTTATCCAGACTGCGCACTTTTCTTAAGATGTGTCTTCTGTGTTGAGATTGCATCTGTATGAGATCAGGTGGATTAACCAATCAGAGAAACGATTGGTCTGCTTGTTTCAAAACCATAGACTGTATATATAAATGGACATGGCTAACCTGATTACCGCCTCGTTCCATATAAGAAGTGAGCATGGGGACGCTACTGGCTCCATCGATGTTTGGCTCCAATTCACTTTACATTGGAAAATCATTACCCCTTTTTCTGTAACTGCTGCAGTGAACTTAGCCATTTTTGTTCTGATCCTTGTGTTTTTATTTCATTATTTTGTCCATTAATAAATTCCTGTTCCTAATTCCAAATTTACTCCTATAACTGCGAGCCATGTGAGCTTTATTTGACTGGTGCCGGATGCTGTTTGTGACGTCACACTCATTTACTCCACTTCTATATATAGTCTACGATCAAAACAAGCATAAGCACTGTCAGTCAGAGGTGTGAGAAGTCTGATTTTCTTCAAAGTTAGTTTGTTTTGTTTTCAATGTGTCATTGAGACAAACATATTCCATTTCTCTGAGGTAAGTTTGACCTGAGTTTGACCTGAGGCACAGAGAATAGAGTGGTGACCAGACTGTAAATCCTACACAGAAGAGTTAGTCTGGAAGCCAGGTAGAGCTGCACAATATATCCCAAAATATATTGATATAGCTATACTGGCTGACACAATAACCAATATCCTAACAACACCAGGGTCCTATTTTACAGAAATGTGCTCCTTTTGAAAGGAAAATCAACAAGAAGGAAGATTGTATTTATGATTTTCATTATTAGGGCCTACATTAGACTTGGGTTGATCTTTTTTTACATTTACCCAGTTTTACTAATAAATTAAGGCATGCACATATTTTATTTACGTTTTCTTATTGCGGCAACTGGCAACATAAATGATTGATTGATTACATTTATATATCACCTTTCAAGATACCCAAAGCGCTTTACAGTTCATTATTCAGTCACTCCACTCTCAGTGGTGGTAAGTTACTATTGTAGCCACAGCTGCCCTGGGGCAGACTGATGGAAGCGAGGCTGCCAATCTGCGCCATTGGCCCCTCCAACCACCACCATCACTAATGCACACACCATTTTCATACTAGGCAATGTGGGTGAAGTGTCTTGCCTAAGGACACAATGACAGTTTTTTTGCCACTGGCGCCCCACTGTGGCACCTGGAATTCCTAGTGGTCTCCCATCCAAGTACTACCCAGGCCCAGATCTGACTGGATCAGGCTTTGACAAGCCGGTAGGGCCAAATAAATGTTAAAATATCACTATAATGCTGTTATACGCAATACAAGACATACTTACATACATTGAATAAAATGTTTTATTTATTTATTTTTTTTCATATTGTGCAGCACCAGTGCCAGACAATGCCAATAGTAAAGGAAAAATAAAAGTTTATTCACATATCACTTCGTAAATCCAGAATAATTACCACAATGAAACATGTTCTTTGTGACTCATTTACTCCTAAACTTAAAAAAAAAAAACAACAAAAAAAAACGTAATGTTTTTAAATCTGTTTAATTTCAGTTTTTTCATTAAAACATAATCAGTTTTCTGTCCGTCAGAACATTGTGAAAAGTGAAAGGGACCAACAGACACGTTTATAATATTAGTCTTTGCATACTCCCTATAAGAATGCTTTTATGATCTATTCGTTGCTTGACAAATTACATTTTGTACTTTGGCCGCACCATTACCCAATCCACCCCTTCACCCTCTCTAAGCATTAGTCCTGCCATTCTGTCCGCATTCACCTCCATGATGTCACCACATAACTACCCTATGATTTGCCAGCGCATTAGTCAACAATATAAAAGCAGCCATCACTTACATCAGGGCTGAGAAGACAAACAGCCAGATTCATAAAAACACGCATTAGCTGAAAATTATAGGAGCGACAATGCAACCAGCTTCAGCCATCAACATGTGTTTTCATTAGCTCAGCACAGCAAAATCTACACATTTAGAGGAACAAATGATGGTTAATAGTACGGCTGTCACACTGCTCCGTAAAGACTTTTAAAGGACCCAAATTACACTATTTTGTTTCATTCATACATGGTTACCACACAAACCCCGCATGTTTAGGCTGAGTTCCTCTCTCAAATAGAAAACACTTCGTTCCACCTTGTGATGTCATGTGGTAATAGAGGAAGTGCTCCACTGTGTTTTAAAACTCCATACACCTTCAATTGAATCATGTGGATACTTTCAGCCCTGAAATTGCAAATCTCTACTTAACAGAAAGCTACCACTACGTGACATCACAAGGTGCAACAGCACATTTTGAGCTTTAAGGATGTAGACAGGCTAAAAATACAGAGTTACTCAAACGTGTGAATGAAACAAAACACAACTCCTGGTATGTTTTTGAGGAGGTAACAACTTGTTAATATGGCTTAAAGCTCACAAGAGTCAATTTAGCATAAAATAGGACCTTTAAAGAAAAACAACAGGAGTTCTCTGAAGTCTTTTGGAGTAGTCATTGAGTTGTAAACTACAAAATCTTTTCTCATCTTGTTTTTCCCCTGCAGTCTGATGGGACGGTCATTGTTGTAATCATTGCTACTATGGAGTTTTCAGCTTACTGTGCTATAGAGCCTTTTGTGTTGGTGAAGTGAGCTAAGCAGACCATAGTGCATTTTCAGTGTCTCTAGGCAAATTATTATAATGAAATATTGAATGAAAGACTGTTTTGACAACTGACAACAATGTCTTTCAAAACTTTTGCAGGTGTAATTAAGTTTAGCTATTTTGTATGAAATAACATAGCATCAACGTCAAACTTCTATTGTTATTTTTGGAGGGAGTGCTTTTTTGTCAAAGATTGCCATAACAAATCAGTTAAAGGTCTCACATTACACTATTTTCTGTTCTATCTTATAATGTTGTTTCCACATCGAAAACATACCTGGAGTTGAGTTTTGTTTCATTCACACATCAACCTGCTTATTTTTGCTAAGTTCTTCTCTCAAATGGAAAACACTGTTCCATCTTGTGATGTCATGTGATCATACACACAGTACTCCACTGTGTTTTTAATCTCCAGACACCTTCACTTGGATGAGTTCCACCATGAAATTGCCAATCTCTAAAGGTAAAAAAGTAGCTGTTGAATTGAAAAGTACCATTAGATGACATTACAAGGTAGAACAGAGCATTTTGACCTTTAGAGATGTAGACCGACTAATAATTCAGGATTCCTCAAAAATGTGTGAATGAAACAAACATCACTGTTTGTGATGAAGTAACAACATTTTTTACATGACTTAGACCGTGCAATAATCAATTTTGTGTAATATAGGACTTTAAATAACGATTGGCAGGTTATTTTTTTTTTTACAGACTACTCTTGTCATAGGGCAAATGCTTATCAGCTGTTGCACTGCCGTACCAAAATGTAATATGAATGTAATAGATTTGTATTTATATTTAATTTTATTCTATATCCTAGAATATTTCTTTTAGAATGTGTGTGAGAACATTTGTTATTGTCTTGCAAACCCACTACTTTTCTTTCCTCTCTCTAAAGTCCTTTGTATCAAGGCAAACTCGCAACAGAATTCCCATAGACACAACACAATTGACAAACATTTATTTTTGTATCTGTAGCATTTCCTGGTTCTATTTTTCAAAGCTCCAAAAAAGGTCAATGGGTCATATAATGAAGGAAATGGCTCTCCAGACAGGAAGTGTGCTTTGTTGACACATATTACCGCAGGAAATTGAATGATGGAGCCTTTTCTAGGTCAAGACTGTGATGATATATTCGTTAACCACTGTATTTTTTTTATTCTTTCAGGAGTGTATGAATCCTTGCTGTAATGCCACAACATGCACTTTAAAGGGAGACGCTGTGTGTGCCCATGGACAGTGCTGTGAAGACTGCATGGTAAGAAACCATCTGAATTTCACATTTACACTTTCAAATTGAGAAATACTTTTCGAGTCAAACTTTGAACATTTTCCTGAATTTTAAATCTTGGTTTGCAAAGATTTACCTTACATTACTAAGGCAAGTTCACTTCCATCTAATCGAATATTACTTTTTCCCCCCTTTGACATAGAAAACCTTTTTACCGGAGTCATTTTTTTCCAACTATTGTAAAAAAAATATTCAGTGCACTTAGGCTACCCTTTCCTTAAACCGGTGTCTGAGTGGAATTATGTTTAAAGGAAAAATAGGTCACTCCGAATGCTCCTCTACATGTACTAGTTGGATTCTTCATCTTATATAGCCATTGCATAGACAGCACTCCACATTTACAAAGATATGATGATTATGAAGTATACATGAAGGCCTACTCATAAAACTTTGCTAAATAATGCTAGTGCCACATCATTGCTTCAAGTCATTTCGGTGTAGGTGCTTTGGAGTAAGTGTGGTGAACTTAAATTACACAAAAAATTTAAAGTTTCTTATCGCTGTGACACACTTTTGTTTAGGTACGGCAAGGGAAGTTTGTTTTTAGAGCATGCTTTGTATGTAATTGTTGTTTACAGAATATAAAGGGAGCATTAAAGGCCCGGTATACCATTTTTTCCCCATGTAATTAAGTGAAGTTTGTCTTGCCCCAGATATATTGGATAAGCAGCTCTTGACAGCAAAAGAAATCAGCTACATACTGTCTGCATTTAATTAAGTGTTTTATAGTCTAAGATCAGGAAGTATATGCTTAGAATGCTAGTTGGCACACTCCATACTTGCCTCTGAATGTTATATAAACTCATTGTGATAAGTAATTAGCTCTAGATTAGATGCTCAGAATGCATAAGGAAAGTGAGGAGTAACTTTGAACCACTGCAAACTATTTAAAATGAAGTAGTTCACTTTTTCACATTTTAAGACATCAAAAATCAGGTACAGTGCCTTTAAAAATAAACAAATAAATCAATAAAAATAGAAATTACTATTATTAAAATTGAGTAAATAAAAGACAAGAATGCAAAAAAAAAAAAAATCCTTTCACTCATGTACAACCAAACTGAACTGTTTCTTTCTTGAATTTGAAAACTGTCGTAGTAGAGGCTTGTCTCAAATGCTGTATTTCTTAACCAGCCAGTCCTTTACTTTACGAGTGAAGAATGAATAAAATCTTTGTAATATGTCATTTTGTTCCAGCTCAAACCGGCTGGGACGCTGTGTCGAGAGTCGAGTAACTCATGTGACCTCTCAGAGTTCTGCACTGGAGCCAGCCCCCACTGCCCCGCTAATGTTTACCTACACGACGGACACTCCTGCCATGATGTGGAGGGATACTGCTACAATGGCATCTGTCAAACTCATGAGCAGCAGTGTATTACTCTATGGGGACCAGGTAACCACACACACAAACACACACACAATTTTGCTATTTTATGTGTGAGAGACTTGCACAATCATCTCACCTGTTGTATTTCCAACCAAATCAGCTCTTTCTTCTTAGATTGTAGATCAGATTATGTCTAACTTTAGTAACGGAGCTTCTAACAGAGCAGTGCTTTCTTTTAACTTCACACCCCCAGAGAATGTTGATCACATCAACTGCAAAGTGTCAATAGAGCCCTTTAAAACACACAAAGTGACCAAAGTGCTTTCCCATAAAATCATATAAATATAAAACAATGAAATAAAAGTAATTAATGGGTGTTAAAGGACAGTCTGAACAGGTTTTGAGCCTGGATTTAAACAGGACCAAGTCTGTTCTAGTGGCATATTAGGGGGCAGTTTGTTCCAGAGTCTGAGGGTGTCTACAGAAAAAGCCCGGTCACCTCAGCGTTTGAGTCTGGCTCTAGGGACTTCCAGCAGGAGTTGCTTGGTTGACCTTAAGGTTCTGTTTGAGTTCTGAACAGACTGGAATTGAGTCAAATAGGGAGGACCAAGGCTATTAAGAGCTTTGAAAACAAACAGTGACGTTTTAAAATCAATTCTAAAAGAAACTAGAAGCCAATGGAGTGATAAAAAGACTTGGGTGAGGTGCTGACGTCTAGAAGTCTTGGTTGAAAAACAAGCTGCAGCATGCACACTAGAGCTGGGAATTGTAGGACCCTTCATGATCCGATACATGGCTCACGATACGATGTTGTCACAATATGGCCCTACATGTGATAATCAATATATTGCACATGATATTCTGTGCTGTATTGCAGTTTTTTTTAAAGAATCAAACAAATTTTAGCAACTGTATTTCTTTGTTAAAACAATACTTGTTGCAAAGTTAATATGAAATGTATCAATTTTAATCATCAAAACAGTGAATGTGAAGTGTACTGCATAAACAAGTTTCTTTCAACTATATAAACAATAAAATTTCCAAATCCAGCAACCCCACTGTACAGTCCCTGATAAAAGTCTTGTCGCTTATCCATTTTGTAGAAACAAAAGCTTATAACTTGACTTTAAATTAATCGATTGGTTTTAGAAATGTCTCATATGAAAGGTAATACCCTCCCAAATTATGCTCAATAAACTAAAATAAATTTGCTTCACTGAAAAAAGATTGATCATTTAATGAACACAGAAAGGTCAGATTTTGGCAAGACAAAAGTTTTGTCGCCTACAGAAAATTGAACAAATAATTTACTTCAAATACAAAAATATGTTGCATAACGTCAGTGAATTAAGTAATGGTGCTGTGAGATCCATATTTAATATCTTTTATGACTTCCATGAGCTTGAAGGACGCATCCATGTGGTTCCACAATGATTCATACAATTTGTTGATGAAGTCATCAGGAATAGCAAAGAAAGCAGTCTTACAGTACATGCCTCCCAGAGTTCATCAAGATTCTTTGGTTTTGCCTTCCATGCTTCCTCTTTCATTCTACCCCAGACATTCTCAATGATGTTCATGTCTGGTGACTGGGCTGGCCAGTCCTGGAGCACCTTGATCTTCTTCACCTTGAGAAACTTTGATGTCGAGATAGAATTATGCGAATGGAGCACCATCCTGCTGCAAAATTTGACCCCTTTTATGGTTGGGAATGTAAGAGGAGCTAATACTTCTTGATATTTTAGGTTATTGATATTGCCTTCCACCCTGCAAATGTCTCGCACACTCCCATAATGGATGTAACCCCAGGCCATGATTAACTGTTTTCTGGGTGAATCTTGGATCCATGCGGGCTCCAGTAGGTCTCCTACAATATTTGTGGCGGCTGTGATGTAATTCAACTGAGGATTCATCTGAGAAATCCACCTTCTGCCACTTTTCCAGTGTCCATCCTTTTAGCAGGCTGTGGGCCTTGGCAAATGCCACACAGTTTTTAATTGCCTTTTGTTTAGTGCTGGTTTCTGTGCACTGATTCAACCATGGAGGCCATTTTGAGACAGAATTCTACAAACTGTTCAGGTTGACACAGGGACTTGAGGTGACCAGGCCTGGTGGAGTCTGCTGCAGTGGAAAAGGGGCTGGCCGTGGATTTTCGAATCAACAAACGGTCCTCCCGAGCAGTTGTCTTGCGGCGTCTGCCGGACCTGGGCTTGTCAAAAACATCTCCAGTCATTTCAGATCTTTTTCTTATTCTTTGTACTTGACGCTGAGACACATTGAAGGTGTCAGCCACCTCAGCAGTGGATCTGGTCTTCAGCCTCTTGATAATTAACACTTTGGTCTCAGGGTGGATCTTAGGCATGTTGTCAGAGGTCAAGTTGCAGTTGATGTGAAGGTCTGGTGTGCTGGGGTTCTTTTTATACACACCCACTAACTGATTGATCAGTAACTGATCACAGGTGAGGCTGTAATCTAGGATTGGGTGCATCATATGACAAGGCGACAAGACTTTTGTCTTGCCAAAATCTGACCTTTCTGTGTTCATTAAATGATCAATCTTTTTTCAGTGAAGCAAATTTATTTTAGTATATTGAGCATAATTTGGGAGGGTTTTAGCTTTCATATGAGACATTTCTAAAACCAATCGATTAATTTAAAGTCAGGTTATAAGCTTTTGTTTCTACAAAATGGATAAGCGACAAGACTTTTGTCAGGGACTGTACAACCTGATGGTCTTTGTGTCAGGACAGAGGCTTCAGGTCTTACCTCAGTACAAACACTGGAGTCCAGATAAACAGTAATTTAACATTTAAATCACAAGTCAAGAAAGTCTGCAACAAAGTCCAATTTTCCTTTCCAACTACCGTTTCATCAGACCACAGCTGTCACTCAACACCGTCACAGTCTACACGAACACTACTCTCCCATATCAAATACTGCCTAACTACCTGATCACATGCAAACATCACTACCCTCAAACCACTTGAGTACAAAAGAACAATAAAAACACCTGACAGGAAACAAATCCATTATCTTCACTGAAAATTGTAGTGCAGTCACAAAATAAATTCCTAAAAAATACAAAAAAATACTCTGTACAGAAGCTGACAATAACACTACATTATCGCTAAATTTAGTATCACAATATATCGATATTTTGATATTTTTGCACACCCCTAATTCAGTTACACACCCTTGTACACTCCACATGTCTGGACTCCCACTCCATCTCCTCCTTATGTGTTGTGTGCAGGAGCCAAGCCTGCTCCGGGGATCTGCTTTGAGAGAGTCAACTCCGCTGGAGACCCTTATGGGAACTGCGGGAAGGATTCCAAAGGCTCGTTCGCCAAATGTGAAGCGAGGTGAGGCGCTGTGCAGCTGCTCCGGAGTACAGCGAAGAATAGGGGAAATGACGGATATTTGAATATACCATTTTGACAGCTCAGGTTTTTAAGTCTAAACATAAAGATTAAAGAGGACATGTTATGCTTTTTTGGCTATTTTGCATGAAACTTTAACATACTTTGCTGAAATATTTTACATTTTAATAGAAACAGGTCAATTAATTTCCCGTTCATTATTACAAGATTTCTCAAAAATGTAGGATTGATCGAAATAAAGCTCTTAAAAGTCAATTTCAGATAATATGTCCCCGTTCGAACCATGATGAAAATGATTAATTAAAATAAAATAAAATTCATGACACAAATTTGGTATATTTTACAAATTTTTGATAAAAAATCTATTCTCTACAACTAGTATTACAGATTTTGTCTTTTCAAATCACAATTAAAGTAGTTTATTTAAAAATATATTACAGTCTCACTACACATATGTAGAATCTGCACTGCGATACCAACTGATTTAAAGATGTATTATGTAATTTTTCTGGTCAAGGGTCCGCCATTTGTTTGTATCCATGGATATGTTATTGTTTTACCAGGAATATTCCACAGTATGGCATTAAAACCAATATATAATTTATTCTATTCTAGTGTTTAATACCCGAATAACTAATAATTAGCTCTCACTGCGAGTGGGCTCACCTCTTCACAGAGCTGAACTGTAATCTGACGTGACATGCTTGTTTCCATAGGTATAGTTAATGCCTTACTGTAGAACATTTTAGGCAAAGCAATAATGTTTCCATAGAGATAAGCAGAAAATGGACCCTCCACTGAAAGTTACACAGTGCACCTTTAACTGATTCACTGGCACAAATTTTTACTTAAATTTTTACTTTTTGTATCTCATATCTGATCTTAAAGCATGCTTATGAGCGATTGTGCTTAATTATTCATGTATTATTTTTGTCTGATTTCTTTGGGCTAATTAGTGGAGAAGCTAATGAATCCCAGGGGCTTGAAGCAACATCTCTCAAGGCTAATCTTACTAATACTTACTACTTTCAAACAAGCTTTTACTGTCTACCATTAATGATATATATTTTATTTCTCTCGCTCCCTGTGTGATGTTACCAGAGATGCCAAATGCGGTAAAATCCAGTGCCAGGGAGGAGCCAATCGTCCTGTAATTGGGACCAACGCGGTCTCCATTGAAACCAACATCCCGCTGCAGGAGGGGGGCAGGATTCTGTGCCGGGGGACTCATGTGTACCTCGGGGACGATATGCCAGACCCTGGACTGGTCCTTGCCGGGACAAAGTGTGGAGATGGGATGGTGAGTCAGGCTGAAAGTTGGTAGTAAACCAATCTCAAATTTTTTTTATTTTATTTTTTATTTTTTAATTGACTGTTGACTTGGATGAATAAGAATCTCCACAAATATTGTTGGGCGAGGGCACAGAACCTGCTTTTTTCTATGGAGATGTTATTGCTTTGCTCTTGAAATGTTTCTTTCCTATATTGATTTATTTAGGTACAGGTGGTTTTGTTCTGAAACTTTTTTTTTTTTTTAGCAGGGTTGTTTTTCCACAGATCTGACTTGTAACTTTGCCTTGTGGCATTAGCTGCATAAATAAGTTTAATTTTATACTGTGGAACACCATCCAAGTAACAGTGTTTGATTTTGTTTTGTGTGTGTCTTTTTTTGTTTTCTTTTTAACAAACAAAACTCAAAAGTGAAAGATTTCAATGATAAACTTAGTTTGTCTATGCAATGAAATATTTTTTTAATTTAAAGGTCCTATATTACATTGTTTCATGATCCATGTTATAATGTTGTTTCCTCATCAAAAACATAGAATTGTGTTGTTGTTGTTGTTTTTTTTTTTATTCACACATTTAACACACAAACCCTGCACATGTTCGCTGAGAAAACACAGAAAACACTAATATCAAGAGGAGGATTCTATCCCTAGATTTGCCAAGGTAGCTATTAACTTGAAAACTTCCACTTCATGACATCACAAGGTAGAATAGAGCATTCTGAGCTTTGGAGATGTAGACGGACTAATAACAAAGGTCTATAACGTGGCTTAAAGCTCACAAGAGTCAATTTTGCTTAATATATGACCTTTAACAATAAATGCACTGCATTCTGTATCTCATCTGATCAGCCCCCACACACCCTCTTCTTCTTCTTGGGGAGAATCTTTCAGAATCCTAAGGAAGTGGGTGTGTTCTGACTGCTACAACATGCCAACATTACTTACACCACCTTTAACTGCCAATACTGCCCTGGAGTTGATGGCTCCCAGTCCGTCCATGATCGCAGCTTATGTGATGGAATCTTGGCTGCAGTCAGAGGCACAACTGTGGGCTCTTAGACTCCTGGAAGTCCCCATAAAGCATTGGCATAGCTCCTGGACCATGATGCCAGAGTCCCCGTGCCCCCGCGAGCTGCGTGTGCCAGGTCAGCTTGTCGACTGGCTGTTGTCGCAGCAACGCATGAACAAGAGTTACTCATTATTTGCAAGCCAAGTACTCCACGCTGGATTCTGGTGCCCTGAGGTGCCTCTTTTGTCACTGGCTTTTGTTCTATCCCAAAAGGTTTTTTAAGGGTTTTGTTTCATTCACACGTTTTGAAAACACAAACCTTGCAAATTTAGGTTTAGTTTTTCTCTCAAATGAAAAATACTCTGTTCCACTTTGTGATGTCATCTGGTAATACAGGAAGTTGGATCATTTCAGCCCTGGGATTTTCTATCTTTCTTGAACAAATGTGAAAAGCCAGCTGTTAACTTGGAAAATACCACTACATGACATCACAGGGTGGAACAGAGCATTTTGAGCTTTGGAGATATAGACTGCCTAATTATTCAGGATTACGTAAACATGTGTGAATGAAACAAGACACAACTCTGGGTATGTTTTTGATGAGGTAACAACATTATTACATTGGTAAACCCTCACAAGAGTCAATTTTGCGTAATATAGGACCTTTAAATGGGTGTGCCAATGAGGTTACGTGTTTGGCACAGCGGACTGACTCAAGCAAAAGAATGGAGTAAATTAATTTGATTTGATTTATTCAAACATATACAGGCAAAACAATATCCACTCATCTCATTTTTGGTGGTCAACTCCAGCACAATTTTTTTTATGTGTTGGGGTCGACTGTTGGATCAGACAACTATTGGGCCCACTTGTATTACCTGTCACTGATTCACCATTTGGATGTTTGGATCCTATTATAGATGCCATATAAGCTCTGGGACAGTTTTTATTTTATTTTATTTTATTTCAGTTGGGTAGTCATAATTTGGTCTGTCACAGTAGTTACTATATTGACTTACACTTTCAATACACAATAGCATGAGTAATAATTTTGGGGGGGCCAATATAGTGTGAACATTTTATTTCTTTTTTTTTCTTTTGTAATAGAGAAGATTTGAGTTGTAAAAGGTTGAATTATGAACTTCTATCTTCATTATAGATACTCACTTCCCTTCTGTTATCTCTTTATTGTGGGTCCTGTTTCTTTTTTAAGACTATTGTACATTTAGAACATTTTGGGGGGTAATTCTGCTTTACTGTTTATTTTCAATATTATCGTTTATTGTCTATATTTACTTTAGCAAATTAATGCACTTTAAAATGTGTTATTGTGACAAGCCTAGTCATAATGATTTGCCTGGTTCATACATGCACTCTACATGAACCTTTTACAAGTCAAAGGTAAAGATTTTAATTCCAATTTTCTCACAATTGCACAAAATTGCATCACTTCAGTATCATAAGAATTAAGACAAAAGTTTAGTTTTATAGTTTTTTTCTCTGGGGGTTCTCCCATGGGGTCTCGTCTCAAGTTTTGATATATTTTACTTTCTAGGCGTAGTTTTCACAGTAGTATTACCTTTAGAGAGAAAAAAAGAAAGAAAGACTGTTAGCTATGTCGTTATGAAGATTTCTTATACGCTGCGTGAACTTGGTTAATATTCAGTAAGCTACTATCTCTCACAATTTACCTCTCTTGATTACTGACTCCAACCACAAGGGGTCAGCGCATTACGATATCATCACTCCTCAGGTTTTGCTGCATTCTCTAAGTGCATTATATTTCAATAAACCTAAATCTGTTTAAGATCTTTTTACAACAACACCATTTTAAAATGCATTAGTCTGTGGATATAATAGTTATGTGGTCCTATGTGTGTGCTATAACTCACAACTTTTACAGCAATCAAAATGGCTTCTAAAACCGCAAAACAACATTTCACTTTTAGAACCCTATGTCAACTCCTGCTATAAACCACACTGGGGGCGATGTTCGAAACTGCTTTTTACCAGCCAATATTAACTTTACGGCTTTACTTGTGAAATCCTGTAGTAAGTAAGCATCACTCATTTGGCGTTGTGTGCAGAAAGCTCTAAATCTCTCCTGACATTTACCTTAGCCATGGAGGCCCTGTAAAAGTTATTGGAAATACAGCTCTTTTTTAATATTTGAATCTTATTTCCACTCAAAATGATTGTTTCTTTTATAGGTGTGTCTGAACCGTCAGTGCCAGAATGTGAGTGTGTTTGGCGTGCACGACTGCTCCGGAAAGTGCAACGGACGTGGGGTGAGTGCAAAAAGATACTGTACCTGCATGGTCAGTGTTTTTATTTTACTGTTTCAATTTTTTTTTTAAATGTTATGGTGTCTGTGATAAACCAATCCGCATCATACTAGACAGACATTAACACAAATTAAAACAATAAACAAAAATATAAACAATAATAATATTTAACAAAAATACAACCAAAGAATAAAGCATACTGACCAACAAGGAGACAAAACATGACAAAAAAAAGTTAAAAATGAAAATAAAATAAAACAGAACCACAGACAGAACAGTCAGGACTCTATGGTCAGTGTTAATCTGTTATATATAATGTTGTTTCCTCATCAAAAACTTACCTGTAGTTGTGTTTTTTTTCATCCACACATTTTTAACACACAAACCCTGCATATTTAGGTTGAGTTCTTGTCTATAGGAAATGCTTCACTATGTTTTTAAACTCCATACAACTTTGCAAGAATCATTTGGATCATTTCAGCCCTGGAATTGCCCAACTCTACTGAACTAAAGGTAAAAGGTAGCTGTTAACCACTACATGACATCACAAGGTGGGACAGAGCATTTTGAGCTTGGGCGATGTAATCAAACTAATGATAAAGGGTTACTCAAACATGTGAATGAAATAAAACACAACTCCAGGTAAGTTTTTAGGGAGGTAACAACACTGTAATGTCTTAAAGCTCACAACAATCAATTTTGCGTAATATAGGACCTTAAAATACACTCAGTGCGTGTCCCTCCATAGCAGAATTAGTGCAATGCTCAGTAATGTAAGATAGCTCTTCCTATCTAATCCGTCTTCATCTGTCCACTGGGGTGAAGTCCATTTTGTCAAAGACGTTATTTATGATAGGGTCTGTTTGTTATCATGTGTTTAAATGTATTTCTTGGAAAAAAATAAGACAATTTTGATATGAAATTGTCTGCATCCTGTTTCTTTATGTGTGCATGTGCTTTTTTTAAAAACAGTATTTTAGTGTTCCAGTATTTTCAAGTTTATTTTTATTCTTTAATACTTTTTATTAGTGCTTTGAAGTAATGTTGTTTACATTTCTGTATTAACCTTTTTCCTTGATGTAAGACAGCAATAAAAAATAATACTTATTTTTTTCACCTTTGCATCTCCTTAAGTTGTGTTGCTAAATAATGGAAATAATTATTTGAACTGCACAAACAAATTTCAAAAGTGATGCTCATTCAGGCTCATTACAATCAAAATCCAATTAACAGAGCTAAATTACAGTAGATGTAAATAAGAAACCTCTCAATTTAATAAAGTAGTAGTTGCAGGGGTGGTTAAAGAACAGTCCCTTTCGCATTTTGTTAACTTTTTTTATGTACTAAATAATGTATGAAGTACAATTTGCTTTGCAGCAGAGTACAGACTTTGAGCTTAACCTCACATCCTGAGACTCTGCTGTGTCCAGAGATTCTGCTTGCTCACACAGCATTTAAAATATGAGAGATAAGTGCCATTTCAAAAAGCTTGTTTACTCTCAGAATCGTAATGTTGTCAAAAGTCAAATATATTTTACTGCTATTAAAATATAATTTCTACCCTTCTTGATCAAATTTACCAATCCAATATTTTCAGTATAGATTATTGTCATTGCTAATAGCTCTAGAAAATGGTAACAAAAAGAAAAATACTTATTGGCAAAACGGAGATAAGTGTTTTTGCTATTGAAGTCTTTATATACAAATTGTCTTTTTCTCCTGTGTGTTATTGTACATAAAGAGAAAACAGTGAGTTTGTCCTATAGCTGCCTGATAAAACTTCAGCTAAAGAAGATAGAAGCCAGATGTTTCCGTTCTGTTCGTGTCATTGGCCCCTCCACAGATAACTCCCTTATACATTTCAATGAGGTGTGGTGTGAGTGCTATATTCCACTACACAAATACAGATATGGTTCCTACTCAATCAAAACTAGCTGTGATCCCCAAGTACCTCTTAACCTCCTGTTTGAAGGAGTGTCCCTGGTGTAGGGGAGGGAGAAGGCTCTGTACTGTATTTGACAGCTGGACCTCCTCTTGTCGCCTGGGAACTCTGTTGGATTAAACTTCCAGCGCAGGAAACTCAAGAACTTTGATGGGACAGACTCTCCGGAACACATGTTTTATCTATTATTACAAGGGCTAGGCAACATACTCTGTAGCAAATGTATTGAAAATGAAAAATTGAAAATGCAAAATTGTACCGATGCAAATGTATTGAAAATGGAAAATTACCAGACTCATCAAAATTGTCCAAAATTTAGTGAAATTTGAATCACTTTTTGTAGAATTGACATAGGAATTTTCATAGCACAGCAACATGTTTATATGTTTACACCAAAAATCTTGTTATCTGATTTCTGGAGTTGGATCCAGATTATTGAAATGTCATGAAAATAGTTATGATGCGAGTAATGTGATTTCACTGTAATTGTTCACACATGTAGGTTTTGGCTAGAGGAAATAAACTAATGCAGACAAAAGACAAAAAAATTTAGTTCTTTCAAAATTCTGTTACTTTAAATATTTATTAATTAATTAACTTATGTCCACACTGGCGTTTTTGCTCATCATATTTCTCTTGTGCAGTTAAACACGCAGCAAAAATCAGATCTAATTATTAACTTACCTGTAGTTTGTACCCACTATTAAGACTTCATATAGAGGTTAAAATTGTTGTTAGTAATGTAGGTGTTTTATATTTTTAGGTGTGCAACAATAAGAAGAACTGTCACTGTGAAGCGCACTGGGCTCCTCCCTTCTGTGAAAAGGCAGGGTTTGGAGGGAGCGTTGATAGTGGACCAATGAGGCTGGCAGGTACTGTTGTCATCTTTCACCTCATATCATCAACCAACACATATTTTAAGTTCTTCATATTTGACTGATGAACAGGTAGAAATCAAATGTACTGTACGAAGAAGTTTAAAGGGACAGTCCGATATTTTGGACATAGGACTTCATTTCCTAGTGAGCCAGAGTGTTGGAGATGTGGGGAAACACTTTTTTAAATACTCCATCAAGTCTTTGTATTTCCAGAGGTTGCTGGTGCTAGGCTAGTGCATGTCAATGGCCATAGTTAGCCTGCCACTAAAAATGATCTTACCCACTCCTCAAAGCATCCAAGGCAAATCTATTATAACACCAGACTGTCAATGTGAATGTCTGTGTTGATAGAATAATTTCAGAAGTAAAACCAGCCTTGCATTTGAAGGATTTATGTCTGAGCAGCAGCGAGTTGTACTTCCTGATAGAAAGCTTGGCAGTGGCAGACTGATATATGAGAAAATAGTCCCTCAAGATGAGATGATTCATGTGATGCAAGGTTAGTTTTATTTCAAACATTATTCTATCAACACAGACATTTACATCGACAGTCTGACATAATAAATGATTTGCTTCTGGTGTTTTGTGGAGTGAGTAAGAGTGTTTTTAGTGGCAGGCTAACTGTGGCCATTGACATGCACTAGCCTAGCACCAGCGACCTCTGCAAATATAAGGACTGGATGGAATATTTTAAAAAGTGTCTCCACACATCTCCAACACTCTGGCTCACTAGAAAATGAGGCTCTATGTCCAAAATTCTGAACTGTCCCTTTAAAAGTAGTTCATGGATTGTATTATGGACTCTTTCACTAGTTTTAAATACATAGGCAAGACAAGTTTATTTGTATAGCACCATCTGTACACAGAGTAATTCAAAGTGCTTTACAGAATAAAAAGACATTAAAATCACCATACAAACAAATACAAATGTAAATAATCATCATAAAATTAACATTAAAAGAGAAGAGTGCAGAATAAATAGATAAATAAATACTGCAATCAAATCTCAAGTGATAACTGTTATATACTGAGGGACAACAACACAAAGTGGTTTCAGATCTTGCAACCCAGAATAAGGAGCATTGTGAACAAATTAGCAATTGTTGAATATTATAAAATCAGTAATTAATTTGAGCAAATATTGTGTAAATATTGGTCATGTTTCTGTATTTCTTTCTCCCGCGCTGCTTAGTTGCTTCTCATGCATTTAATCATTACTATGAATTCCTTTGTTCTCTCAGAGTAAAACAGAATACTTTAAGCAATGCAAACCAATGTCTTTCATGTATACTAAATGCAACTAACAAACTGCTTTTAGGTTTCATCTATTTACGCTATATCTTCATGTTAATCTTTGCTTTGAAATTCTGACCTTCATCCTTCCACCCTTTTCATCTTCTATCCAAAAGCACATTCTAATACAAAGTGTGGCCTCTCTTTAACTGCCTGTGTCCTGCTCTTGTGCTGTAGATGTGCGTGTGTGTGTATTAATGTGCGTGTTGTCATATGTGGCATCAGCGGACAGTGTGATCATCACTGTGGCCATCCTGGTCACTCTGCTCAGCCTCGCGCTCGTCACCGCCATCGTCTTCATCAAGAGGAAGACTCTGCTGCGCCTGCTATTCGCCAACAAGAAGAGCACTTTAGAGAAACTCAGGTGAGAGAAGAAAACGAGTTTTTGTCTTCACTGTATTCTTTGCTTATTGCTCTTTTGACTGTATTAATATGTGTTTTCTTTAAAGCATCTTTGAGTGTCCTGAAAAGTGCAATATAAATACTATGATTATGATTATGATTATTATTATTATTATTATTAGGTAGGAAGAAAAAGGGTTTTAAATTGTAATAATGACAGATTATCTTTTTCAAGTTTTATTTTTTCTAATGAGCCAGACAGCCAGACATTTTTGTTAAATCGCATTTGCTACTACAAGTACAAATTGACGTTGTGTGATTAGCAAGATATTGGAGACATACAAAGGAGGATATCTAGCATAAAAAACACTAACTGATCTGAAATTGTTGACTTGTGAGATGAAAAAAGAAAGCATATGAAAGAAAAAAGTATTTCCTGTGTCACCAATCGCAATATCTGGCATTAAAGTATTAAATGGAAATAACTCGCTGTGTGTGCTATGAAAACATTTGAAGTAGAACTAATTTCGCATTTAGCCCTGTATTGCTCTTATTGCTTAGTTGTGTCATATAACAGCTATTGAAATAACTTCCTTTTCTCAAATGTCTCTTAAATGTTCTGTTCTCTAGATCTATGGAAACTGGCAGACCAATTAGCCCCATCAGGTCCCAGTCCTTGTACAGACCTACAGCTCTACGCAAACCTCCACCCAAACCATCTACCACTAATATATATAAGGTATGTCTTTCTGCATTGTCATAATACACAATACAAAATACACTAAATCAATCTAACATTTTATTCCTATTTACCTGCATAGCCTTTCCCCATAATATGCTCATCTCATTTCTACGGCATAGCTCCGCACGTCAATCACAGACAAACTCCATTAGGGCATTTACAAAGCTCCTCTCTTCTCCTGCTCAGGTCTGGATTGTTGACAGCACAAGGTGATGGCACGCCGCTTTGTGCATTTCTATCTCTCCAACTATTAATTATGAAGCTATTGTGGACAGCTGGCGGTGGACTTGTGAATGAGAGAGTGATTGTTTCATTAAAATGCAATAGCCAGACCCTGGATATAGCAATTACAGCTGTTCATGATGTTTACTGGCGATAGAGGGCTATACCAGAGAAGGCTTGAGACATCACAAGGAAATAGGTGGTTGTTATTGACGTCATTGTTTACATACACACAATGGCAGAAGCATTTATAAATATAAGAATTTAGTAATAGGCTTGCATACTTGTCTATACATATTTTAAATTTTATCTCTTAACAAACTGAGAATGTATCCATTGTTATGCAAGTAACTAACTTGTCAATCGATATTAAAGAAGACTTATTGTGTTTTAATCTGTTATATAGTTATATTCCATGACACCCATGGATCATTAGTTATAGCTATAGTTTGGACACAATTTTCATCTAAAACAAATTAATAAAAGAAACAAGCCTGCTGACTTCTGCGTTAGCTGACACTGTAACAGATGTGCATTAATATTCACTGTCCCAAATAAATACATGAATAAATAATAAATAAAATAAAAATGTCGGCACCTCAGATAGCAAGAGAACCACAGATTTTTTTTTTTCATTGGTATCAGAATAACTACACAACACTGCTGAATCCTACATGAATGAGAGATTAAGAAAATGCAATTGGAGGACAAAGTGCGTAAAGAGCAGTGGGAGTATGCCAGTGATGGTGAAAACAGGCTTGATTGCCAAAATGCCGTCTTGAATGTAAGCGATTAAAAATTGCTCAAATATGCACAAATTACTCCAAATGTAACTTGGGTGAGTAAATGGTGAGGGGACACAACTATAACATTGTTAAAAGCTCAGACCAGATTTTTGCTGAAATTGTGAAGAGACATGCTAGAAAATTAGAATGCCCTGCTTTAGAGAAAATACACAATTCTATTATACAGAAATGTTCGCTATAATACATTCACCACAATGCCTGAATCATTTGGAAGAAATTTAATGAGGTCTCCTATCAGTAGTAGCTTTTGTTATCTTTACAATGTTCTAAACACCAGAGGCCATTACAAGAACCACAGAGCAAAATTCAAACTTAACAAACAAGCCTAATGGTCTTCTAATTAGTGGTATCATGATAATAAGATAATGAGACAGAGATAGGAGATAATTAAGCACTAAAACAAATGCTCTTTCTGTGTGTTTTGCAGCCTTCCTTTCCTGGTGCAGAGCCTCTCCTGGCCGCTCACAGTTTTCACCCCCACAGCCTGCGCAGACTGCCCCTGTACCAGCCTCTGCACATCAGTCAGCCCATGCCCCTTTCTCTGAGTGTTGGACAGCCCTCTCTGCCCCATCCGCCCCCCCACCACCACCTGCTTCCCGTCCACACTTCCACGCTCTCGCCATCCAGAGCGCCAGCCTTTCACACACTACCACGCCAGCAGTCTTATATGGTGGATCAGGTAAGTTTTTGTACAGGCTAAGGCATTTCAGTTCTGCCAGTAATTATGGTAAACAACTAGGGTGTGTTTATTTTATTTATTTATTTATTCATTTATTTATTAAGGCCCATGTAATATTTAAAATACAGATTTAAAAAAAAAGCAACCACCATCACCAGCAGAGGGAGCACTTCATCGGCCCTCTACTAGCATACTAATTTACAAATTGTCCTGACTCCTGCTTCTTCACGCAATCTCACAAAAGTGTTTGAGTGGGGTGCCTAGTTGTGAAAAATCTCATACACTAGACTAAGATTGGCTAATATGATGACATTCCCAGAGGGTAACATTTTACATTTTTTAGTAATATTGCAATAATGATGCGACTTAGATTTCTTATCTAAATGCTTTGAAGAGGTTGCATTGTAGATTTTGTTGCCAGTGAACAGTTTCAGTGTAGTTAGCTCCTTCTTTCAGGCAGATATTTAAGGCAGTGACTAGAACCCTAGTAGAACTGAAGAAGCTACTTGGATGTGTGACAAAACATAATCACTCTTGCATGCTTACTTCAATTTTCTTTTGTTTTGGACCGTACCTGGGTGACTGAAGGGTTGCACAAATAACAAATAATTTTACTCAACTAATCAAAACAGTTACTCTGGTGAGATTTTGGTGTTGAGGTAACCGGATGGACCAAACATAAGATGATGTGTAAATTCTGGGATTGTCAGATAAAAGAAACATAAATACATAAAACATAAATAACCTTGACCAAAGCTGTCATCACAAATAGACTCACTGTGGGATTTGAAGAGTGATCACACTTCTTACTCTAGTAGTACTACGAGTATGAGGTAAAATTTCCGGTCAGTGCTAATAAATAATCTTGACACTCAAATGGACTGGCACTTAAATTTCTCATATCAGCGTGTTATACAGTTGTGTACAAAAACATAAAACTTGCCTCACTTTGCCTATATGAATGCTCTAATATGTGATAGATAGATAGATAGATAGATAGATAGATAGATAGATAGATAGATAGATAGATAGAATGAAAAGAAAAAGAGACCACATAGATATAAACAATAAGGACAAGTGGACACAGGACAACACACATACACACACACACAGATGCTGATGAGGATCCAGATTACAGAATTCCAATCATGCCCCCTATCAGTCTGCAACAGAAATGCAGTTGTTTACCAGCATTAAGTGTAAATGACTAATGAAAATGGCTTGTAGAAGCTTGATGCTTTGAAGGCACAATATGTTCAGAAATCAAATCTATTATTGTTATTATGAAAAATTGAACTGCATGGAGCTGCAGTATGATGGCAGAGTGTTATTGGTGGTTGTCTTATATTAGTGGCATCATGTACTTTGCCGTTAAGCACTTTGAATTACTGTGTGTACAAACTGTGCTCTACAAATGAGCCTGTTTTAAGGGCGCATAGTACACTATTTTCTGATCTATGTTGTAATGTTGTTTCATCTTCACAAACATACCTGGAGTTATGTTTTGTTTCATTCACACATTTAACACATAAACTCTGCATATTTAGGCTGAGTCCTCTCAAAGAGAAAACACTTCATTCCACCTTCTGATGTCATGTGATAATACAGGATAATTTGGATAATTTCAGACCTAAAATTGACAATCTCTTCTGAACTAAAAGTAAAAAGTAGCAGTTAACTTCAGTTTCATGACATTACAAGGTGGAAAAGAGCAATTTGAGCTTTGGAAATCAGACAGACAGAAGACAGACTAATAATAAAGGGTTACTCAAACATGTGTGAGTGAAACAAAAACACAACTCCAGGTATGTTTGTGACAAGGTAACAACATTATAATATGGCTTAAAGCTCAATTTTGCCTAATATAGGACCTTTAAAGTGTTATATGTCAGAACATGACACATACACCCGCATACACAAGTTGAAGTTTCCTCATCTTGCAGTTGCAGATTCAGCTAATCAGAAAAGTTTTTCATACAGGTGCATCACATGATTGAAAATGTATGAATATTAATGCAGATTTGAAACGATTTGAGTTTTCGATCGTGTTTTTGACTAAATGCCTGATTACATAGACTGATTTGGAACCTAAAATGAGTAATCACGTATCGCTTTGAATACGCAATTTCACACAGGTGCAGGTTTACTTTGGTTTACTTTGAAAAATAACAGTTAGACACCTCTATCCAAAAGTCAATACATCTTAGAAAGAAATACATGGAAAATCTCTATTCAATATGATCTATCACCTAATCTTAATTTATACCCCACTCATATTAAGTGAACCCAGCGGCACAGAGCATGATTTATAATGATGAGGAATGTATGTAAATTATATTCTTAGGCTTAAAATAGCCTTAGGTAGGGCCAATCAATTTTAGTTACAAGTATTATATCCTGGAAGCCACTGTAATTCTATGTTGTGGTCAGCCTTAAAATATCGACAGCAAAATCCAATGACTCCTGCTAGGTTTCTGCTGAATTGGCACGATGACTAGTAAATCTCTCTTCGCTTGGTCCAGACCCTGTACGCCATAGACCTTATATTATGGGATGTCCGTACAGCTCAAACTTATTGGCAGATGGTTCACAAGACATTAGCCTCCTGATGGGACTGTTTGTTATATAGTGATAGTGACATCTTGTTTTTATATTTGTGATTAATTATTCAGGTAAGCACAATCTTGCCTGCATCAGTCACTGCAACGAATCAACATTTACAACTGTGAAACTCGTGCCAGGCCCAAATGCACTTTAGCTGAGAGGCCGTATGCGCTCTATAAATACCAGTGGCTTGCCAAAACAATGCTCTCCTCTAATATGAGGCCGCTCGGTTTGGTCTGCTGGAATGGGTTTGAAAATTTAATGCGACAAAAAGGATGTCAAAAACTTGGTGGAGTACAAGCCCGCTAGCAAAATAGTTGGGGTAGTGTGTAGGATGTGAAAGTTAAAATGCAAACTTGACCTAATTTCATTGAAGTGTGTTATTAGTGGATTGTTTTGTTGTTGAGGTTTGTATTGTGGCAATAAATCATTTAAATCACATATAACATCAGAAAACTAATTTGAATTTCAGTGTAGTAATAAATGTAGTAATAAAATGGGATAAGAAGATTTTGCAACCAGATATGAATTGACTGTCATGCCACAAATATGCTAGCCAGGCTGGCGCTACCTAGTGCTTCTGCTCAATTTGATTTCTCTCCAGCGACTAAGTCAGGAATCGGAATGCACTAGATGGTTTGCAAGAACCCTGACAGTGCGAGTCCGGGCACCAGCCAATCAGCGAAGAGCCATACATTCTGTGTTTGCGATGATTCCGATTTAAAGCCAGAACAAAGAGAATGTTCGGTGAATTTTATCAGGGGGAAAGACGTTATTGCCCTTCTTCTTATGGGATTTGGGAAAAGCTTAATATACCAGTTAACCCTGTTAGTGACGCATTACATCCGTCACGACCAAATAGCAGCGATTGGTTAAATAAAAAAAGTACCCGCTTACCGTTGAGCGAATTAATTCTAATGCTGGTCAGACGGTTTCTACAAAGTGAAATCGGCTGATGAATCAGGCTACAAATATGCAGGGTTTTAATCATTAATTTGATGGGATCCAGGATACACACTTCTCTAATACTTGTGTACCTAAGATGTGAGTCTGATGTGAGTTTAAATAGGCGTGATTGACAGGAGGATTAGCTAGTTATGAACATGCATGGTCTGTCCGTATCAAAACAAATAAATAGCTGTTTATAAGGAAAAAAGAAAGGAACAAATATCAAAAAACATTGTGGATTTCTGCTGAATCATTGAGCGAAGCACTAAACTCAGAGGTGAGAGAAATTTCATTTTGGTATAAAATGATAGATGACCAATGAGCTCCTTTATTTCTCATGTCACTGAAAAAAATGTGTTTAGTTGTGTTTGATTGTGTTTAACCCTGGCTCAAGGCACAATGGAGAGGGTTTCAAGGCACTCAAATATGCTTTACAGAACACATATTAAAACAGAGCAATAAAGAGCAATAGACAAATAATACAGTAAAGATAAAAACAGTGAATCATATTTTAAAAAATAATAATAATAAATAAAAGATACAGAGAGATAGCATGTTTTTAATACCAAAATAAATCAATTATGTAAACAGTGTTGGGGAGTAACAGATTACATGTACCAGAGTTACGTAATCAGAGTACAAATTATGAGTAACTGTATTCAGTTACAGTTACTGTTTCCATGAGTGGTAATTGGATTACAGTTACTTTGTTGAAATAAATGGATTACAGGGCAGTCTGTTCCTGTTTTCACATTTTGGGCTAAACCAGGACTAAACCAGGTCTAAACCAGGTCTACAACCAGTTCTAAATCCAGTTCTAAACCTGGTTTAAACCAGGTCTAAAACCAGGTCTAAACTAGGTCTAAACCAAGACTAAACCAAGACTAAGCCAGGATTAAACCAGGACTAAACCAGGACCAAAGCAGGTCGAAACCAGGACTAAAACCAGGTCTAAACCAGGTCTAAACCAAGACTAAACCAGGACTAAAACAGGATTTAACAGGACTAAACCATGCTGCGCGGACCGTGTCTCCTCTTCTTCTATAAATAAATTTTTAATTTGGTTAACTAAAGTCTGGGCTTTTTATTTTCTTTTAACAGACAAAATGTCTCATGTGAAGATATCCTAGTCTTTGCTTCTCTACGGCAAATCAAGTAATCCAAAGTATTCAGATTACGTTACTCACCTTAAGTAATTTAATGGATTGTGTTACAAACTACATTTTGGGATATGTAATCTGCAATCTGTAGGGGAATACATTTTAAAAGTAACCTTCCCAACACTGCGTGTAAATTATGTTTTTCCACTATTTACTGGAACTCTTTTTTAACATTTGAGATCCAGAAACTATGACGTGGGCACCACACTGTAGCAAACAGGAACCCCATCTTCAGATCCTGAGGGGCTTTGACTTAGGAATGCTAACCTGCTGTGTTTGCTCGTCCTC